TTACTTTCAATATCTTGCTGAAGTTGCATGTGGTAATGACCAAAAACAGATGGTACGTCAGGTACAGTGGCTCATGCCTGAAATCCTGGCACTTTGGGAGGCCAAGGCGGGTGAATCACTGAGGACAGGAGTTCAAGAACAGCCTGGCCAACATGGCGAAATCCCCTATCTACCAAAAATACAAAAATTAGCTGGATGTGGTGGTGTGTACCTGTAATCTCAGCTACTCGGGAGGCTGAGGTAGGAGAATCACTTGACCCCAGGAGGTGGAAGTTGAGTGAGCTGAGATGGCACCACTGCACTCTAGCCTGGATGACAGAGCAAGACTCCATCTCAAAATAAAAACAAAACAAAACAAACAACAAAAAACACAGATGACAGATAATTCCCAGGAGCTTACCAAGAGGCATTAGATAATTTGATATGCAAGAGAGAGATGAAATCCCCACTTCCAATCTGCTTGGGGCTGGCTCTTAACTTTTCTACATTTTACTGTGAGAGCCTTAACGACCCTGAACTCACCTGCCCACTGGCTAAAATGACATTTTTTGGTTTTTGTTGGAGACAGAGTCTTGCTCTGTCTCCCAGGCTGGAGTGCAGTGGTGTGATTTCAGCTCACTGCAAACTCCGCCTCCTGGGTTCAAGTGATTCTTGTGCCTCAGCCTCCCGAGTAGCTGGGACTACATGTGCTCGCCATCATGCCAGGCTAATTTTTTGTATTTTTAGTAGACGTGGGGTTTCACCATGCTGGCCTGCCTGATCTCGAAATCCTGGCCTCAAGTGATCCATCCACCTGCCTTCATCTCCCAAAATGTTGGGATTACAGACATAAGCCACTGCACCTAGTCCTACAACAGCCTTCGATGAAGCCACTGCAGAACTTGATACGCTGAAGACTCAAAGACAGCCCCTCATCATGCAGTTTCTGAGAGACAACCTGACAACACCGTGGACATCACACAGTGCAGGAAAAGAACGTGATGCAGCAGAAGGGGCTGAACACTAAATGTATGCAGGGTGTTATCCTTCTTCCCTTCAAGAAGCCTTTTTTTACCATGTCCATTCCTTATGAAACTTGGATTTCCTATAGCAAAGAAATCTATTCATGTGTATGGAACCAGCTGTTTACAGTATTTCCACACTGCAGCTTTGAGAAAACCTGATTGCCTGATTTGTGTTTGTCTTGGCCTTCCTGGTGTGCACTTACTCCTGTAGAAAAGTATTCACAGCTTCATTCCATATAAACCGAAAGCAACTTGAAGAAACCGATGTAGAGGACATATTTGTATCTGGTATTTAAGT